AAATAGTTTACCCTTCAAATCCATCTCTCTCTGATTTAGAGATAAGGATGTGGTGGGGGACCACAATAAAGGCCTAGCATGTGTCCAGGTAGATTGCCTCGCTTGCCTTCCCTTTGTCCACTGATGTCTTCGCTCCATCACCGAAGGCCACCAGATTGGTCAGGTATGACCTTCCCTTGATGAAGTCATGTTGGCTGTCTTGGATCACTCATCTGTCATGTGCCTTAACATGACTTCCAGGAGGATCTGTTCCATGATCTTCCCTGGCACAGAGGTGAGGCTCACCAGCCCGTAATTCCCAGGTTCTCCTTCCTCCCTGTCTAATAAATGGGAGTGACATTTCCCCTTTCCTACTGAGTGACACTGGGTCACTCCTGTGACTACTGGGAACTATGCCTGACAGCCATGCCTTTCCAAATATGATGGAGAGTGTCTTGGCAGCCATATCAGCCAGATCCCTTAGGATCCTAGGATGCATGTCGTCCAGTCCAACAACAGTTTTTGGGCCAGTTCAGCTTGGTTCCGTGACTAAGTGGGGCAGAGGGACCCATGCCTCAGGAGAGGGGGAGAGGGGGTAGGGAAAAGGTTGGGAGATGGGCCTAAGAACAAAACAGCAGCAGTGTACTAATGGAGAAAACTAATTTCGTAAATATGACAGCAGAATGCAAGATAACGCAATATAATAGAATATAATTGGAATTGAAGCTCATAGATCAAAATGAGAGAGCCTATGCTGAAGGCAAGATGGCAAGAGATCACACACTGCGGAGATGAGCAGTAAAAGAAGGAACAATCTTGTGACTTGCGAGCAGTTTTATCTTTCTCTCCAAATGAAAAATGGAAACAGAACAGCGAAGTTTTCTGGGATATGTAGTTCTTCCTCTCTTCTGAGAGCCATATACCCAGAAATATTGACAATTCATGGAACTGGATCATTAACTCTTTAACTCCAGGTGCACTACATGATGTTTTGATGTGGAATAACAATAACAAAAATCATAAAACCATAACACTAAGGACAGCCTCTGAGGAGATCTCATCAACAATTGCTTAACCAGCCCCAAGTTCACTATTTTGAAGTTCAGGGTCCTGACTCCGCACTTTGCCAGGCCCACATTGCTCAAGATCACAAATTCAACCAGAGTGCGGTCACTGCAGCCCAGGCTGCCTCTGATCTTCATGCTTTTAACAGTCTCCTCTGAACTGGTGAGCAACAACGCTTCGCTTCTGGTGGGCCTGTTCAATACCTGAACCAGAAAGTTATCATCAATGGACTTCAAGGGACTCCTGGATTGCTTGCAGCTCGCCATGTTGCTTTCCAAGCAGATATCTGGGTAGTTGGAATCCCCTATCAGGATGAGAGCTTGCGAGCATGACACTTCTTGCAGATGAAGCAAGAAGGCCTCGTCAACAATTTAGATGTCCTGTAGTAAACCCCAATCATCAGCTGTCCTTTAATGGTCCTGTCCCTAATCTTAACTCACAGGTTCTCAACCTGCTCCTGACTGTTTCTCAGGGGCAGCTCCCCAAAATCTATCCACTTTTTAACGTAGAGGGCAACTCCCCCGACGCCTCCTACTTTGCATATCCCTTCCTAAAAAACTTATAGCCCTCAGTGGCGGCATTCCAGTTACGTGAATCATCCCACCATGTTTCTGTGATAGCAATAAGATCATAGTTTTCCAAGTGCACCACAGTTTCCAGCTCCTCCTGCTCATTTCCCACACTGTGTGCATTGGTATAAAGGCACTTCAGCTGGGCTTTTGAATGCACTGACTTCCAAGGGGAGCCCACCCACAAACCTCTGGGACAAAACTGAGGTTCCCCCCCTCCACTGCTTCCTAAAGTGAGTGTTCCCTGGCTCTCTATCACTCAGCAGTACACCTCCTCTGCTAGGAGTTCTGTTTAAAGCCTGAGATGAGCCCCTTTGCGTCAGCTGCATCCCATCCCATGTCAACATTCCCAGTTTGTCAAAGATGCCTCCTTGGAATGAAGTAGTTCATATCAGAAAAAGTTCTCAACTTCACATAAGTATTAAGGAACACTGGGGGAAGTATGCTCCTCTAGAGAGGCTACTAGGAATCACTCTCTTCCCTAGCAAACGTCACATGAGGGAATGGTTCTACTGCCAAACACCCAAGGTATTGTTACAACAGGGATCCTTTCCGACTGTGCGTGGCTTCTCCTAACTGAGGTAGACAGGCAGTTGGTCTCACTGTAAACACACCGTGTACAGCTTGTAACAGCTTTTTTCTGTTTTCTACTTCTAGGTTAATGGGTTTTTATTTGAGTCTGATAGTTCTGGCTTGCTTGGCAATCCTGGGTGCAGCTGGGATTGTTAACAGCTTTATGGATGAATACCTGGGCTTCAACATTGGGAAGAAATTACCTAAAATGTTCTGAGGACTTTAAAACAAAATAAAACCCACAAGTAAGTAATGCAGAAGCTCTCCCTGGACACCAAAATGATGATAAGCTGCATGTGAATAAAGTGTCAGAATTTCCCATTACCATTCCACTGCAGCATTAAATGTATGCTTTTTCTGAGCTGTTTACACCTTCTCCTTTCCCTGTGTTCTTGAAAAGAAGTTACTAAGACAGAATGGTGCATCACATTGGCGTTTTCTATTTACACGATATCTGTCCTCCTATGCAGTATTGCAAACTCTAAACAAATCACAAAAAACCAAAAACCATTAATTCACTAAGTAACTCGGCTCCAACTGACACTGCAAGCAACAGCCTGTCTTACCCAGCATCCTCTGGCTTTGTCAGTGCCTCTGAAGCCTTCCTTCACTCTTCTTCACTCCCAGCAGCAGCATAGAACTGCATAGAACTGCAGACCATGACTGACTGTTTTGGTAGCTTCTGATAATTTAAAGGGCTTTGGCAATGCTGGAGGCATTCATGCTAGAGCCAGCAGGCAGAAGCTTTCTCTGCTATGCCTGATGCACAGTTCGGCCCAAAATTCTGCACGTTTATAGTTCTGCTCAGTCAAGTCTATGTAATGAACACTTACCGTCTTCCTAGAAGTCCACTGGGGTTGGCAACCTGAGCACTAACTGAGCATTGGCTTGGGTTCATCATCACCTTTCACATAAAAAAGGGGGATACAGTGCACGTGCAGAAGTTTGCCCTTCCGAGTTGCTGTAACGTGATTTAAAGGCATACCTTAATGGCTGCAGGTGGTGACAGGCGATGGGGTAGTTGAAACAATAAAATGAAATGTGTACATAGGTGTAGGGCTTGAGGACAGTAGCAGCTGCTGAGGTCGCAGGACAGATCACGGTGGTGAGCAGGTAAGAGCTGACAAAGTTGTAGAAAAGGCAATTCTCTGGCACGTGGTTCCAGGGAAAAAGCCGAACAGAGACAACAGCCACAGAAACCACTGGGAATTCTTCCACAACTTCCCTCTGACAGGCAAAAGGACAGCAAATCTACCTGCCAGTGATGCCTTGAGGCAGTCATGGGCAGCAAGAAAAAGAAGGTAGGTGTCTCCATCACACATCAGGCTTGAAACATGTAATAGAGGAGACCCAGAGGCTGCTAATAGTGTTCAGATAGGTCCTTGCCTCTGAAATTATTCTGCACTAAGCTCACCTGTTGAAATGCACTGGCATGCTCATGGATAGCTACCCATTCCCCATCTACACCAGGGGAAGGAAGAGGCAGCACAGGGACAGCTACATGTGCCAAAAAAGGTGGATGTGAGGCTGCAAAGTGCCATCTAGTAGCACAAGCTGTAATACTGTGGGATACACGTGGGCCTCAGCTGCTCAGAGCTGCATTTACAATAGCACCAGATTGACATGAGGAAAAGAGGGCAACTCACCTTTAGGTCTTGGACCAAGCCACACAGACAGCTCAAACAACAGGCTTTCTGCAAGCTGCACTAGCAGGGCCCAATGTGTGCTTCACTATGACTCCCCAGGGGGGTGGGAACAGGAGAGAGACGTGCCAAGCCTTGAAAGCTGCACAACATGCTTGTCTTACACAGGTCACGTAAATACAACAAGCATATATGCACTTACCCAAGGGTTTCTGACCACAAAACCTCACAGTGGAGCAGCAGGTTGGGGAGCTGCTGTGAACATGCTTTTCCCTCGCTTCCCCAACTCATCTTTCTACCTCCTACATCCAACCCCACGTCTCTCTCATTCCCTTCCATCCCACCTCTCCAGAGTACAGCTGCAGCACTCCTACACCTTTCACCCCGTGTCCTCCCCAAAAACATCTCCTTCCTGCACACAGCAGTCATTGAAACTGAGAGATGCTGCCTCTCGTGGTGGCACAATGAAGGACCAGCTCACCTGTAGCAACCGCTCCAGTGCAGAGTACAAGCCTAGTCTCACAGCACCTGGAAATAATGAGAGCCTTCCTTGCTCTTATGAAAGGGGCAGAAGGGCCTCAGAGCAATAGCACACAGCTGGCTGTACAAGCAGCCCCCAGCAGCTCATTGCACTCACCTGTGCTTGCTGCCTGCCTGGAAACTCACGTCTGGAGCAGCGTCACAGGTTGCCACAGGAGCAGAGGGGTGAGAGGTGATCTCACAGACCAGCCTTGCATCTGACTCAGATAACCATCTTTTTTATTTGTTTGCTTGGTGTTTTTGTTTTTCTTTTTTTTCTTTTTTCTTTTTCTTTTCTTTAAAAGTGGTATGTTAACATCAGCTTTTTTCTACATTTTCAGAGCTCTGTACAGGTCTTAAAAGGAAATAAGCAATGCTTAATGTACAAAGTAAAAACAGAAAACTAGAAAAATCTGAATAAAATGGAGCAAGTTGCCATCAGGGATACAGTACAAATTAGTAATCAGACATCATCTGAAGTGCAATACCACTGCAGTAAGGATGAGTTAAGGAATGAAATAAAAATACTCTATTTTAAACAAACAGTATATATATATATTTTTATATGTATATATTTTACAGATAGTAGACCCAGTGATATCTGTAGAATTGTAAAAACATATTTACAAATAACTTTTTTTTTTTTTTTTTTTTAATATTACATATACATCAGCACCATAGTAAGGAGGAAAAAAAAAAAAAAACCAAAAAACCTCAAATCTATTAAAATCTACGTCTAGTACTTGGTCCCAGTACGGAGTATTTGGAGGAAGCTTTGCAAAGACAACAGCTCGGCGCTGGCCCCAGAGCTGCTCTTCCCAGTGGCCAGCCTGTGCCCCCACGCTGCTCCCTCGCCCCTGTCCCTCAGGGTGCTGTCACTGTGGGCCATCCCTTCCCTCAGGCTCGCCTCAACAAGAGCCATCGGCCCACGGCGTGGCTGTGGGCTGAGAACTTTGGCTGGTGCTCTCGCTCGTTGCATTGGGCCTGACCCAGCTCCTGCTGCAGCAGAGGACAGGCAAACCTCTGCCATCTTCAGCAACGACCGGAATGGGACCTCGTGCTGTGCTTCAGAATGGGGTAAGCACGACCTACCCCAATGGGCAGCTCTCAGCTGAGGAGGTGGCAGGTTTTGGAGGGCAGCTCTCCTTGGCTCGGGCCCCAGCTGCATCAGGCAATCAGAATGGCCAGCATCTCTGCGGAAGACGTATCACCCCCTCACTGCAGTGCTCTCGGCACCAGTCCACACAGTGGAGATACACAGTGGAGACAGTGATACGTTACTGTTACCTAAAAGCATATTTGGGCAGACTCAATGTTTTTAACGCCTAAATCCGCTATTTTAGCCATTCATTCATGCTCTTTACTGTAGTCCTTCCTTGACTCCCATTTTTTAAATACTGCAGTGAATGTTATTCCAGCAAACAAAGGAGGGTTAGACCACCACTTGCTTAAAACAGAAGACCAGGTGGCACTAAATGTCAGGTTGAGAGCCCAGACACGCCAACCTGCTAAGCCTGCATTTTGCAATATGAGAGGAGGAACTCGTCCCTGCTTGCCAGACCCTCCCTGCACATCTCCTTTCTGTCCTCTCCTCCCCTTCCTGCCCCTTTGTGAAGAAAAGCGCAGTGAGTTTACTTTGTTTTACACTGACAGATGGGAGGGGGATGTATGAAAATATACCGGGGAGGGAGGAGAGACAGGGACTTCCTCAGGACTTTTGCTGGTGTCTCCTGGTGCCTTGAAGCCCTTTAGCATCTCTCTCAGCTCTGTTCTGCAACCTGGGCACACAAAGTGCTCTGACAGGGAAGCACCACTGCAAGTCCCTTGGGGACTAAATAGCTCCTTACACAACCCACTCACTAAAGCCATCTCCAGCAGCGGTCCTGTAATCCTCACTGCACAACCACACTCATGTCCTCTTACACTCCTATTGGATTTTTAGCACTCTGCAGTGAAAATGGTGACCTCTCTGTGACTGTTTAGGTTTGTGACACGTATGCCCCTCGCAGCAGCCCAGAGCCCGGCCATGGTTTGCTGAGGCCTGCTGACACCAAGGCTGGTCGTGCGTGCTCACCTGCGGGCTTCCATCTGCTACCCTGACAGCCGCGGCCTTCGCAGTTACATGAGGTGGGACGCACCGGGGCTACCCCATACTGCTGTGCAAGGAAACCTCATTTCAGCGGAGAAAGACCATCTTTTCCCTTCCAAAGGCATCAGCTGGCTTTTCCAGTTTCCCCATCCTGCCCCACACCCATGCAGCAGGTGCTGCCACGCAGTGGAGACTGCCTGTGGAAGTCTTGTGATACCAATGTTCTCAGCATCACCCGAACCTTCCCAAGTTGGCTACAGATCAGCTCGATTTGCACGATTAAAATCAAAAGAAAACAAACAAAAGAACCCAAACCAATTCAAACAAAAAACCCCAACAATCCGAGGATGGGGAGCACATCCAACCCTCTCTTTGATTTTTTCAAACATTAACAACCCAAACTCCAGACTATACAAGCCCATTCACTGGGGGTTTCCGAACAACTCATCGAGTTCTTGTATCCACTCGTCCCCTGGTCCGCTCTTAACGATGGAGTCCACGAGGTCTGCGCCCTCTGCTAAACTGGAGAATGAGCCCCCAGCTCCTTCGTTACTGTAGCTGTAAGATATGTCCTGAGTGGGATTCCTCTCATAGGCCTGGCCTTGGCTGCTCGGAGCAAAGCTACCTGGCATCTGCTGCGCAGAAGGCTGGCTAAAACCAGACATGGTGGGGACCCCCTGGCTTATTGCAGGCATCACCATCGGCCTGGCCTGGCTGGTTCCCTGCTGCCCGGGCAGCGGCTGCAGCAGCTGTCTCCCCATTGCCGGGTTCAGGGCTCTCACCGTTCCACTCGTGTCCACAACTGTCTGGTTAAGTCCCTGTGGGAAATGCTGCTTGGGCAGCCGAGGCTGCCCAGACTGCATCGGGTACGTTGTGCCATTATTGAAAGGCCCAATTTCGCCGCTAGTCCTTCCGGGTATACCTTGCAAGCCTCGCTGCTGCCAGTTCTGCGTTCCCTGAGGGACAGTCCCCATCAGGTTCTGAAGCCGTGGTGCTTGTGGCCTGGGTAAGACCTGGCCCACCGCTCCTTTCATCTGCTGTTGATGCTGGGGAAGAGCAGAGTTTACCAGCATGTTCTGACCAAAACTGCTGACCATTCCCACCACTTGTCCAGAGGCGGTCTGCCTCGTTCCCTGGCCTGCGTTATGCGCCATGTTCATGCTGCTTTGGTTTGGGTGCTGCAACATTTGGCTCATCCCTGTGCTCATACTGTACATTCCCGGCTGGCTGGAGGAGGCGTTGCTGTAAGGAGCCATGCCCAGGTCTGACTGGCCCACCGTCGTGGGCAGCGTGCTCGGGTTCTGGGAGGGACCCATTGCCATCATGCTCGCGTTCTGGGCCATCATTCGGGACGTCCTCATGCTCTGGAGCGCTGCTTGGTTTCTTGCAGCCGCTATATCCTGGGGAGAACCTATGCCAGAAAGGGAGGAAGGTGAGAAAAAAAACACGATCCTGTAAATCTTACACAAATCAACACGTCTGTGCTTAAGGGAGAATCTGTAGGAGCCTCCTGCACGACAGTGGGATTTCAGTTTGCTGTGCTTTTCCAGTGAATAAATTACTGTTTCACATGAAGGCTAGCAGAGAACTAGAAGGTTACCTGTCCTTGGGAGACGTACTTGCAGCCTAACGTTAGCCGCATCTCAGAGGCGATGCGTTCTGCGCACTGCTGTGACTGCAGCCTTGGCACTGCCCTGCCAAATCCCCACTTCTCAGAGCTGAGAGGCAGCACAGCTGAGCGCTACCCCAACCAGGAATCGCTGATGGAGTTACGTATTTAATTTGTGAAGTGGGACACCGCTCCGCAGAGCGCTGTCGATACAGGCCAGCAGCTTAATTTCCCATCAGGCCTGAAGCAAGGCTGGCAAGGTGAAAAGGCCAACGGTTGACTCACTAAGTAATTTTCAATTATGACAGCTTGGGGATTTGTACCCAAAGGGATTTGTGGCTTTGGATTTTCGAAGAATTGTGGCAGTGTGATTCCTTCCACGTGTGACATGCCATTACAGCCATGGTTACTTCCCTGCTAATGAGCTGCTCATGCTGCACAGCCACTGGGGCCGCAGGGCTAACACAGGCCTGTCTTTCCGTTACTTTGCTGTGGCCAACAAGTAGTTATTTCTGCACTGACCTAGGAGAAAAAGCCTTCTTTCAAAAGTAAAAGCATTTTTTGGTTTGCGTGCAATTTTCCACAGGCCCGGGGATGACGTACGCCCCGCTCTGTGCAATAGTTAGTCCCTCAGACTTCTGAAAGCTGCACAGCACCGTGATCAGAAGTACTTAATCTTCTTCAGATACACCTGGTTCAGCTTCTACCAAGCAAATGAGAATGCTTCCACTGGCCTTCAATCGAAGCAAAAAGCTGAACTTGAGTTATCTGTTTGAAGCTCCCTTTTAAATATCTCCATTGTCTTTCAAAAGTAAGCCTTGAAAATGGAAATGTCAGACTCAGAAGACCAATCAATTTTTTAATAGCTCAGGAGGCATAAATGAATGGATTTTCTTTACCATTGTTACTGATTAAGTCTATGGAAAGAAGAAAAATTGTTTTTTTGTGAACATTTAAAGCAAGGAAAGTGTATTAGTGAATCAATATGATAAGCACATTTTAGTCCACCTTAGGCCGGTGATGGGAAAGCAGAAAATCCTAACCTTGTTAAATTCCACACTGTGGCACAGAACTGGACCGTGCTCACGTCCCTTTGAGGGGTGGGGGAGCTATTGATTTTTGGGAAGCCAATACGCTCCTGTATTTACTATCTTTATTTAAAAACAATTACCGGAGCTCTGATTGTGCCACGGGTTCGTTGTGGTTTTGAGTCAATACCGTACTGAACTAAATAGAATCCTCAGCAGGCAGAGCTCCGAGAGCAAGACGCTCACAATTACTCCAGCTCAAATATCACTAAATGCGAGAAAAAACGTTGCTGTAAGAGTCATAAATTGTACAACAAAACCAGGATGCTCTTAAATCAGCCCCTACCTTGTTGTCTCTCGGCGGCAGACAACGTACCTAAATGTCTGTGGAGACCAGAGAATGGTAGGCCCTGCTGTTTATGTTGGCCAGATTCCCATGAGAAATGGCTATGAATAACTGAAGTGTTCTCCTATAGTGACACACACGATGCAGCGGATGGCTACATCTCATTTTCCCTGCAGCAGGACAAGCTTCGGGAGGATGCTTTTAGCTGAGCTCTCCAACATATACATAAACGGAGCATCCTGTAGCATGAAGAGAGACCATCTGGATCTTACTTGCGGAGGGCAAACGTACCAGCAGCTTTTACTTCATCTATGCTACCAATTAAACTGCTTTTTTTAATGACTGGCACTAGGGACCCCTTGAGGTTTTTTTTTAAATGTAGGTCATCTCCTTCCTCCGCGGTTGCAAGATACCACTTCTTACAGCCATTCCAGCCATTGCTGACGAGGACAGGTGCTGCTAAAAACCTGTAGTGCACCTCTCACCATCTGCGAACTGCAAACAGCAGCTGCAAACTTCCAAAGGAGTCAGCAGAACTGCGCGGCTCACTCCCTGCCTCTGGGAGCTGCTGTGCCTGGTGGGAGAGGCAGGGCTTCAGGCAAGAAGCAGTTAAAGGGGAGATGCAGCAGGTTTGAAGATTTTGGGCCACCTTCTGGTCTCAATCCCACATAACCCACTGCACTGGATTAGAGTATTGTGACTAAACAGAAAAAAAATGGTGCAATATTTATATTTAAATTGGCTCATTTATGAAAATGAATTCCTCGCTCTGTCACATTAGCCTAAACTCTCTTTTGCATTTCTTTTAAATTATACATATGAAGGCAAGGTTTCAAAAAAGCATTGACACGGAAAAGATTTTACATATGCTTCTCAAATAATGCGTGACAGTGCACACATACATTTTGATTTTGCAAACAAGTTATCGGGAAAGAATTCACTTCGTATAGAATTAATGCTGCCAAAATCAAGAATTGGAAGGCAATTAGAAAGAGCCACACTGCTGTCTGTCAGCAGAAGCTTTGGCTGTCTGCTCGCTTCCTGAGTACCAGAACCGCAGTGTGCTCGCCTGCCTTGTTTCTGTTGCAGTTATGTGACACTATCATGGATACGCAGCACAAGGACATGCTGGTTCTATGTATATTCAGAATCCGTGGCTAGTGAAGGCATTCAGCTGATGAACTGCACTAAAAAAGCTCAGAATTAACCTTTTTCCTAAACCAAAACGAGTACCCTCACATTCCCCAATTATTTGTGAGCACACCAAAATAATCCTTGTTTTGTGAGCTCATTACAGAAATCCCCATTTCCATCTCAGATATTTCACTATATTTCTCACACCTGACACTTATCAGACACTACTGTTGGTCCTTCTCCAGATGAAGATGACCTCTGTGAAATTCCCTGCTCATCAAATTAAACAAAGTAGGACATGAAGAAGAGTAAAACCAGGATACAGCAAGGGATGCTGGCTGAAAAAAAAACGATGAGAGCGAAGGCAAACATGATGAATCCACTGAACCCAGGAATCAAGCAGGCAAAACACAGGTCAAATACAAAATGCAGCTTTTGCTGAGTGGAACAGAAAGGAAATTAGAAACATGACCAAACATTCCAAGCTGGGCATTCCCCTTTAGTGAAATCTGTGGTACGTGCAAGTGTACAACAGCCCACCTTCCTATTCTGCCACACTGCTTAGCTCCTTGCGTTCACAAGATGCACAGATTTTCATATGCCTGCTCCAGAGGCGTATTTTGTCTCCACAACAGGAAAAAGAATGTGACTTTTACCTTGGAACTGATTGACCTGTTGCACTGGATATGGGCTCCGCTGTTGCTGCAGATGCTGCCGAGGCAAATGTGACTGCTGCTGCAACTGCTGAAAAGGAATGAGGGAAAGAAAGCAGAAGTGAAAGAGATGATTAATTAATTAGTGAGCTGGAAAGAGGCTGGTGACAAAAGTGCTGCAGCAGAACCGCAGTATTCCTTATCTAGCAAGCCGTTCTGGAGAGACAAGTAGAGACATTTGAAGAATCCTCCTGAGAGTACTTGGGCTACTCAACACACAGACTCCTTCTGGTTCAAAAAGGAATAAGCACTGAGGCTAACATCATCTCTCCTTACTTACAAGCACTTCATCTTGACCTCTAAACAGCAAACTGAACTGTCCTCGGGCTGAATGGGAAGGGAGGGATCTGAGATACCTCTTCTCACCCAGCTCTGAGCGCTGCTGAATCCGCACACCCTTTCCTTCCCCCAGCCCTGACGAGACCTAAATATATACAGGAATATATATATAATAATATATACGTATATAAATGTACATATTCAATAATATATATATTTAATATATAGATATTCCTATACGTACAGTCCTTGTGCAAGACTGCAGCCCACCTCTGCACATCCAAAACTCTCAGCTGCAAGGGACAATGCCTCCTAATCTGAGCACTGTGTCCCAAGACCATTGCCTAGCCAGACCAGAAACAGCTACTAAGGCACATTTCCTCTTCCTCATGCTATCTGGGGAGCTGGCAATTGCAGAATGCCCCTGTCCCTTAGTCCAGCCCATGCTGGTCCTCTGTGCTTTTTTTTTCCCGTGAATACTCAGGCATCTAAAACAGAATCAAGGGTTGATTAGAAAAACAGGGAGCATGTCTATCAGAGCTTTCAAGGCTCTGGGTATACTTGACTGAGCAGTTACTACAGTGACACTTCTTGTGGCTTCATCTGCACCTGTACGGATGCTTTGTCCCAAACCAGGGCTGAGGAACAAAGGAAAGAGAATGACAAAGACAGAAAGGAAGCAAATACTAATCCTAATGTTTATAAATACACATTACATGTGATAAAAAAGATTAAGGGAACTTTATTAGGCACAAAGCACTCAAAAGCTAGGAGCTTACAGGCTGCGCCTTTTAGTCTTGCCTTCAGCATCCAAGTCAGTGACTGGCTCTTGGGTTTACACAAGTGAATTGGCCTGGTCCATGCAGAGGGAATATTACTGTATCACTGCTCTGTACTTGTTCCCTCTGAACCCATTCATGCATCTTCAAAGGATCACAGAATCATAGAATGGTTTGGGTTGGAAGGGCCCTTTAAGATCATCTAGTTCCAATCCCCCTGCTATAGGCAGGGACACCTCCTTCTAGACCAGGTTGCTTATAGCCTCATTCAGCCTGGTCCTGAACACCTCCAGGGAGGGGGCATCCACAACCTCACTGGGCAACCTGTTCCAGTGTCTCACCAGTCTAAAAGAAAGACTTTCTTCCTAGTGTCTAGTCTAAATTTACCCTTTTCCATCAGTAACCAGCACTACTTCTATGGTTATACAGCATGCACAAGTTCTAACTCAAAGTGGCACCCAGGTCTTAAACTGTATTTCCCCTACCAAGAGAGATACTGTTGAGCTTAGACTGACCTATCAGAACATTTTCTAGGTGAAGTAGGGGTTTAACTGCAAGTTTAACTGAGATGTGAGCTTGCAGTAACTGGACAGTGTGACTTTCTGCTGGCTTTTCTGCTGGGTTTCCTTTAAATTGCATCTGAATTTAACACGCATAAGACACGACCATCTAGAGCAGGTAACGTAATGTCTGTACTGCACAAGTGTAGAGCTCTGGGAATTGGTGTCAGGCTCAAATGTCACAGCTTCTCACTTCCACTGCTGGGGTTGTGCTCACTGCTCCCCCACTTCAGCCCGCAGTTCCCAACCTCTCCCTGAGGCTAGCATGACTGCTTGCACTGTCTGTGTGATAAAACAGAGTAAAGAACTGATCCGGGAGATCAGAGAGAGAAAATTGCTGAAGGTGAAAGGAAGGGCTGTGCTGCACTGTCTGTAGTACTCGCCATCTCACACCAGCTGCAGAACCTGAGACAAACAGACACCGTACCTGCTCTGCTAGGATCTGCTGCTGTTGCTGCCTCTGCTCTCTTAGGAACTGCTGCTTCTGCTGCTCTATCACGTGCAGCTGGGCTCTCTGCTCGATCAGCATCTGCTTCATGATGGCCGCTTGTGGCTGGTTGCCCAGGAAAGGCCCTCCCGAGCTCGTGCCTGTGACCACGCTGCTGGCTCCTGGTGGGACAGAGGGCTGCATAGGTGCTGTGCTCCGGGACAGTCCCACCTGGTGCTGCTCCTGTGTGGAGAGAGGGAGAAGGGCTTGTTACTGAGGGTGCTCTGCGTGTAGGGAAGCTATGGCTCATTAACACTGAACGCTGAGTCTGTAGGCAACAGCTGGAGCTTGGAGAAAGTGGGAAAACTGGGCAAACGCTGGTGGCTTTTGGCCTCAATGTCTGCTGCAGGGACGTGGGCAGGTTTCTCGAACCAGAACCTGGAGTTCCAGGCCCCCTCTGATAAGGCAGGAGCACTTCATGACTCACCAGTAAGAAGAAAAGAAAACGAGGTTGAGGTTTATTTGCGCTCAAGACAAGCAACCTCTGAGCAATGGACTCAGGAGCCAGGGTTTGAGGCACACTGTGAGCCAGCAGCCCTCATTTCCATTGGATTGCCCCAGAATCTCAGGATTTAACCACATCACATGTTTATCCGAGATTCCATCCCACTAGGACAAAGAGCTTGTAGCTGGAAGGATGCGGGAAACGCGATGCCACAGAAACCTATTCCTAAGATCACCCTGCTGTCCCCCGCCTTTGCGCGCAGGATCTTCCCGCAGACCCCATCTCCTCCGCACCTCCCCGCGGTGCTGCCGGGAGCGGCGAGTTGCCAGCAGGGGCCGCTGCCCGCCCGCTGCCACGGCTCGGCTCGGCTCGGCACGGCTGAGCACCGAGTGCTGAGACCAGGCCAGGAGCGCTGCAATGGCCCGCGCTCCGGTACCCAGGAGCTGCGAGCTGCCAGCAGCAGAGGTGGAGGGTTCCTCTTCTACGTAATGCCGTAGCGTGGGGCGAGCTCACTGGCAGGGAAAAGCAAACTAATCTTAAGCCAAGAAACAAGAAGAAATACAATTTGTCCGCATCTCCACACTGATAGTCCCTGAAGGGCTCACTGCTGAAAGGCAGCTTCCCAGGGCTGAGCTTCTGTCTCTGTTGAACTCATGCCCTGGTTTGAAAATTTCCCCCGCTACTCCCTGCTCCCTTCTCACACAGCACCTCACCGCCTGGTCCAACATCTCCTAGCTCAGGGACACGAGGTGAGGGCTCCATCCTGCCCCCCCTTCCCTCCCCCTGCCCCAATGAAGTCATCAAGCTGAAGATTGCATAACTGATGCACAGAGCTATCTTGTGTTACACTGGGAGATGGGCCAACCGCTTCCATTTATAGACAACAGCAATGCCACGCTGCCAAAGAACCTTTGCTGCAGCTACAACAAGGGAAAGGGGGAAAGGAAAACCAGGAGCCAGGAGGCTCGCCGTGCAGTGACATCAGCAGGAGCTGCCCCGAGCCCTTGGGGACGCAGCCCACTTCAACACAGTCTCACAGCAGAGCTGCCATCCCAGCTCTCACGCACACAGAGGGAGCAGTGCCCCACGGCAGCAGTGCGCAGAGGGGCTCCGTGCCGTATTGCCTTACGCTGCTCCTTGGCTTCAAGGCTGCGGAAGACAGAGAGCTCTGCAAGACACCCCAGCAGCTGACAGCCCGCACAGCAGCTGGAGGAAATGTGAAGATTAGCACCAAGGTGTTACTTCCAGGGCTGTGTGTTCGGCCATTTCTAGGCACAGAAGTTCGCCTATTCATAGTGAAAACTTCCTGCTTCCAGCTTTAATAACAGATTTAAAGCCAGGCCTCTTTCATCAAGCCAGAACACCACTCTCCCTCCCCCCCTTTCCATTTTTTTTGGCCAAAGCACTTCCCAAACAATGATGAAAGGCCCCGCTGACATCACCAGGAGCAGCATAGGGCTGTGTGTCCTGACAGCAGGAGCAGGGCAGCAGGGCCCCACCAGCTCTTCCACGCAAACACCTCTGCAGTGGGCGCTGCTCCACTCAGTGTGTCCACTTCCCAAATCACCCATCCTGACCCTGCTCTTTGCTCTCCTCTCTCTGCCAACTGGCACTGCTTCCTTGCTACCCTCCAACCACCCCACCAGTCCCAGGGAAGCGGTGCTTGCTGGCCCCTTCCTGCAGTGTGACTCACCGTGTGACTCAGGCTGCTGTGATTCCGGACAGATTTTTGGGGATGCACAGCAGCGAGGGGACAGCCCTGCTCCTTCCCCCAGGCCTGTGTGCCTGTGTGAGGGTGCCCTGCATGGCTGTATATACGTACTCAGGAGGGTGGACTTCTGTGGGGACACATCTGCCTTGTCAGTGCCTGAGAAGGAGCTGCCCGCTGCTGGCAATTGGTCCTTGGTTAAGCACAAATCCCGTGTTCTTCAAACGTATTTCTGGGGCAATGGATCCTTCTCAGGAGTTTGGGGTGATGCATGCGTATGTACGGTTATGCGCATTTAACATCAGTGGAATTGAAAGCAGTGTCAAAGTGAAACAGTCAGCGGAACCTGAGGTCACTGTGCATTCTGCAGTATGTGAACTACTGCAGTCCTTCAACACACAAGCAGCAAAAGAGCAAAGAGAAGCCAGGAGGTGGCTTATCCTCCATACTGCATTACAGGAACGACACTAGAAAGATGTGTGCAATCAGATGTCTACATTTTCGAGTCAGAGCAGAAAAAGAAGGAACAAAAATGATTTGAGGCAGAAAGTATCTTCCAGTAAAGGACTTCAAGAGCTCAATCATTCAGCTTACCACAAAGAAAACAGAGATGCTTTGACCACGGCGTATAAAAATACCTTCACGAGGGAACGAATCCTTTAAAGAGCCCTTTTATCCAGTGAAGAAGGCAAAACCAGATAGAAGGGCTGGAAGCCAAAGACGGATTCAAATCAGAAAGAAGAATCAAATTTTTAGGCCATGATTTCATTACCCAGCAGAACTGGCAGGTCTCTGCTGTTTGATGCCTCCTAAGACAAAAGCCTTTCTGGGTAAATACAACTTTGTAGTGCAACCCACAGGTCTGTGATGGACAAGGCACTGCTGACCTCACCTCCACGCACTCTGAGCTGCTGCTTGCCGGCAGCAAAAATGTCACTGGATTTCTGTACATACCATCACAAGAAAACTTATTGCGTACCCAGTGTTTTGGAGTAACCTACAAGCACGTTCCTGTGTTCCCCCAGAAATATTTCCATTAAATTCCTGTACGGTTGTCACTTACTGTGTCTGGCAGGGATCTTAATCCCTGTCTAAACCTGGCTGCCCAAGCGCAGCCACCTTCAGCAGATAGGTGCCATCTGACTGACTGAGGGAGTTACAAATCCATTCGCTTCTGACTTTATTTGCCTCACATGAGCCAGCATGCAGGATGAAGGGACAGGCTGAACTGTTTTGTGACTGCACCCACCAGCAGACTTTGCAGGGCGGACCGCTTCACCCTCATCCTCTGTCATCCATTCCAGGGAGGGGCTACGAACCTCTCCTCTCCCTGGGCCCCCGGTTGCCATGGCCTTTCAAATAGTATCTGAGCGAACAAGATCACTCTGACGTTTGATGCCAGACCTCTGCATGCAGCCCATTTGTTTTCCTTCCACCTCCCATCCCCTGCATTTCTCCTCCCCCTGTTTTCGATACGGTTTGCTCCTGCCGCAGAACAAACAGAATCCGCCAGACTATCACTTTGGCGTACGTGTTAGTTCATCAGAGGGACTAATTTCTTTATTTCTAGCGACAAAGTACACAACAGAGGATCTGAAAATGAGCAAGTGTTTTCCTAACACCGTTTAGGGGCTAAAGACTCCTGCAGGCCCTCACCAGCGCCCACACCTCACCACAGCTTGCAATCCACACAGCCTGCTTGGGTGTAGTGTCACGGTGTGTCCCTGCTGCCCCACATGGGCATGGAGCTCCCTCAGGAGCCAGTGCTCGTGGCTGTGGTTGGGAGCAATGCAGTGAGGGCTGGGCTGACCCCAAGGCCACAGCCTGTTGGAAATGGCAGCGCTAAAGGTTTTAGCTTTAATCAATGCCCGCTTCGAGTCCATCTGGAGCAGAAGGGAGGAGAGCTAATGCGAAACACAAGGATAATTATGGCTAGAGAGCCCTTGAGAAGGGGGAGAGAAGAAAAATGGAAGATGAAAGCGGGCAAACGGTTTGAACAAACAGTCACACAGGGCCAATGAAAAGGGGAAACAGAGGGAAAATGACACAATAAAAATAAATGCTGTAAGAGAAAGAAAAGCTTCTAGCACATACAGGGAAAAATGGAGAGACTGAGAAAACACAGATATAAGGAAAAGATGCTCTGAAGAAGTTTTCAAGCAGCAAATGCTAAACCGCAACCCGGCTGTCCCCTCTGCTCTGATGTCCCAAGCCCACATCACATTATCACCTTGCACCCCACGGAGCTCGCTGGGTACAGAGGCATTTCACAGCCCAGCTCCAGCTCATGCCTGGCAGGAGCTGCCCGGTGGCTCTTCTAGATGCTTGTAGAGTTCGGTTGTTTTTGTTTTCCTCTTGGTGAAATTTTGCTCATTCTCCCCTCAGCTGTTTTGTTTGAGAATAAACAAAGGTATTTTTCACGCTTAAGGACATTTTTCAGATCCTTTCCTCTGTGCTGTGATAAATGAGATCTCTTTCATTTTCAGAAAAAACAAACTTGGCACTTGTGTTGATCCTCAGCAAGAAGCATGTAATTTGCCAAGCCCGAAAGAATCCTGACTGAGAAATAAACACACGGGGCCATATGCTCTCCTTCCCCTACACAGAAGGCAACTTACCTCAAAAATTGGTAAGAGGCTGCAGTTGCCCCATGTTGTTCTTCTGCCAAGGCAAAAAGAAATCCTCAGAAAACTTCACCGCAAAGGTTTGGGGCTCTCACAAAGTAGCTGTGCTTGTGGGGACCTCTCCTGCACCTTCCCCACCCTGTCGGTGACTCTCTGGCTTCTGTGTTGGCACAAATGGGGTCAGGGAGTGCATATGCTCACAGTACCGCTGCATTATCCTTATCAGTATTTCCTGGCACTGCTTGATTTGCAAGTGAACAACCCACACAGCCCAACTGTTCCTTTCGTACCCCCCTCCCTGCCTCATTCACAGCGTGCCCACATGGCAGGAAGATCACATCCCATAAGGGCCTCAATGAATCAAGGACCCTTTTCGGTCCCCCCTTGCTTCGCTGAATCGCTACGG